TACCACGAGAGTAACGAGAAATATAGACGAACAACCAATAAGTCAGAATGTTTTGTCACATGCATCTACGCGAGGTCGAGTGTCATTATTAGCAACTGCATAGTTCATATTGAGACAGGCAGAGGTCAGCAAATTGTACGAGCTCTAATAGATCCCTGCTCTGAAGAATCGTTTATAAGTGAATCAGTTGCAAAGAAACTACAAATAAGATCCATAGATATAAAAGGACAAGTATCAGGAGTTACAGCTGTCATCGAGAGTAAATAAAGAGTTTAAAATAAAATGCACTGCTTATGTTGTGAAGAATGTGACAGACATAATACCAGCTGCAAAAATAAACTATGAGCAATGGACTCACTTTAAAAATATAGAACTCGCAGATCCAACATTCCATGAGCCTAGTGAAATAGATCTGTTGCTTGGTGTACATGTGTATGCAGATATATTATTGAATGGAGTTATTAAGAGAAACCCAGGAGAACCCATCGCCCAGCAAACAAGTTTCGGATGGATAATCTCTGGTGGTGATTCAGTTGAAAGAGTACCAAGCAATGGTCAAACTATTAGCATGCACTTGAGTGTTTCATTAGATAATATGCTACAAAGATTTTGGGAATGCGAATCATTTGAGAGTAAGAATAAAAATGCATTAACTTTAGAAGAAGGAAGAGCTGAAGATATTTTTGATAAAACGGTAGCAAGAGATAAAGAAGGTAGATATACTGTCGAATTACCGTTTGCCAGAAATGTACCAATCTTACCTGAGAATTCGAAAGCCATAGTAATGAGAAGATTAAAGTGCTTAGAGAAAAGATTGAGTACAAATGAGAATTTAAAGAGATAATATGATAAGGTACTTCGAGAATACATAATCTTAAATCATATGAACTAAGTAATATGTAATAATGAGGAAGATACAGTCTAGTTACCGCATCACGCGGTCGTGAGGGAAGATAAACAAACTTCGAAGGTGCGAGTAGTATTTGATGCTTCATGTCGAGGTAGTAATGGAGTATCACTTAATGATGATTTGTTGATAGGTCCTAATTTGCAAGGAGAGTTACGAGATATCATAATGAGATGGAGGACTTATAAAATTTGTTTTATAGGAGATCTCGTAAAAATATATCGCCAGATACGAATTTTTGAAAAGGTCACAAACTATCAAAGAATATTATATAGATTTGTATTATCTAGTTTTGAGGATGTGAAGTCTGCAAAAGAGGCACAAGACCAACTTTCCCAGATGTTAAAAAATGGAGGATTTGAGATGCAGAAGATATCATCTAATAGTCAAGAATTCATGATGTCAATAAATCCTGAATATAGAGCTAAATGTATAGAATCAGAATTCAATAACAAAGAGTGTATAAAGACATTAGGTATTTTATGGAATCCAGTAGAAGATATCTTGAAAATAGCACAGAAATATCTGAAACACGAAAATTGTCAACGACTTACCAAGCGAAGCGTACTTCGCTAAATAACTTCACTATTTGACCCGATGGGGTGGATTTCTTCTTCGATAATATTAGCTAAAATATTTATGCAAATTTATGGCTCAGAAAGATTGACTGCGATGAAGAACTTTCTGATGACCTGAAAAAAGAATGGTATAAATATAAAGAAGACCTGTGCTCGAAGTTATACAAATTCCAAGATGGACAGGATGTAGTAAAGAAGCTGAGATAGAGTTACACGGCTTCTCAGACGCATCTCAAGTGGGCTACGGTGCCGTAGTCTATATCAGAGTACTGAACAAACATGGCAGAGATTATAGAATCAGTTTAATCATATCTAAAACAAAGGTGGCGCCTGTCAAGCAAGTGTCTTTACCAAGACTTGAATTGTGTGCAGCCACGTTGTTGAGTAAGCTGTTAAAGCATGTTGGTGGAGTACTTGCAGTAAGTTATAGGAAAACATTTACTTGGACAGATTCTAAAGTGGTTTTAGCATAGATAAAGGGCGATCCGAATAGATGGTCACCATTTGTTAAAAATAGAGTCATTGAAATAAGAAATAATTTAGAGTCACAGTGACTTTACATTAAAAGCAAAGAGAATCCAGCAGATCCAGCATCAAGAGGAATTTTGCCTAGCAAACTCAAAGAATGTGATTTATGGTGGCATGGTCCAGAATTTTTACGCCTACATTCAGATTTTATGATAAACTAGTGGCCCGCCCTCGCTTCGCTTCGGTGTAGAGCTGTAGTGTAAACTATAGTTTTTGTTCTCAGGCTTGTTATTTATATAATTACACGTGTTATTGTGAGTCAACCATAAAAGATAGACATATGCTGTTGCGGGATATTTTTTAGACACTTTTATGTAGAATATTTCCGTCATACATGATTTCTATGTAACTTTAACCATTAAGGCTGCACCCGCGACGGAAGCTTAAAAATGGAGTAACTTCTCCCGTTTTCCCAACATTTCCCTTCACTACTCTGCTGCTATTGATTGTAGCGTGATAAAAAGTATACTATAACCTGCCCAGGAGTATGAAGAATAATTGTACCAAGTTTCGTTAAAATCCGTTGAGTAGTTTTTGTTTCTATAAGGAACATACACACAGACAGACAGACAGACAGACAGACAAAAATTTTACTGATTGCATTTTTGGCATCAGTATCGATCACTTATCACCCCCTGATAGTTATTTTAAAAATATATTTCATGTACAGAATTGACATCTCTACAGATTTATTATAAGTATATAGATAAAGAAATTATTCCTGATACAGAGATAGAGAAAAGAGCAAATGTAAAATGTATACTTACCAATGTTATTGAAGAGAATGAAAATGATAAACTTATACTAATGAAGAAGTATTCATCGCTTAAAAAACTATTAAATGTTATAGCTTACTGTAGTCGATGGTTGAGAAAACTAAAAAAGGAAAAAATATTGCATAAAACCATTGATACTTATGAAAGAAAAGATGCGGTTATATCATGTATTAAGATAGCCCAAGAGATAGATTTTGCAGAAAAAAAAGATTGTTTGAGAAAAAATAGAAATATTAAGAGAAACAGTCGATTACTACCATTATATCCTTACCTGGATGAGAATGAAGTCCTGAGATTTGGTGGGCGCTTAAAACATGTATGTAAACCTAAAATATGAAAGAAAATATCCAATTATACTTAACAAAGATTGTCCACTAGTTACACTTTTGTTGGATGACGCGCATAAAGCAACGCTGCACGGAGGTCCTCGACTGCAAAATAAATACTGGATTATTAATGGTGATTAAACAATAAAAAAAAAGGTTGAGATATAAAATTCTGCAAATAGTAACCAATTTATGGGTTCAAAATAAGTCTTGAATCTGTGTTCCTGGTTGAAGTTTGAGATTCACAAGGATAAGCATATCCTTGGCGGCGGAGGATGTTGGAGTTGATTTATCTACTTATTTAAATATTTTAAAGTTTATATATTTAACGTATGTTTGCATGAGATATTTTGTATAACCATACTTCATGGTATAGTTTGTTAAATTTAGAAAGAATTAAAAACTCCTCAATGTCGTTGTTTCTCTAGTTACATTGTTGTTAGTTGTCAGTTCGTTGGAAAATACATAGAATCGGTTAAAATAGTAGTTTTATTAAAATAAAGTTAGTTTATAGTCTACAGGTACATAAACAAATACAGACTGATAAAATAATAACACATCTCTTTCTTTTGGCTTTACCTTATTCGGGTAACAACTTATACGACCGTTTTCGCTGCTTGACCATTCTTTGTATTTTAAAGAATGGCTTTCGATTATAAGGGTACCTACTCTGAAACTACGAGTTTGATTACAGCACCTAACCATAAATATACGATACCGCGTGAGGATAATGTACTACAATGTGAGTACAATACACATTCGAGTGTGCTACGTGACCGGAATGTTTCGTAGAGTCCTAATATTTCACTGCTTGCTCACGTATCGCAAACTTCACATCCTCGTTGCTGCTTTATGTACAAGAAGCTCGCTGCCATAACACCTCGTTTGTTAACTTTTAACGAGTTTACGCATTAATTAGCGAAATTATTGTTTTTATTTTATTTCTGAAATGTTACTTTTTTTGTCAGCAATATATATACTACCTGTACTGTATTGTATCTGCACTAATGTTAGCCCTCCTACAATGATTGGCCCTCTTGCACTTTTAATAAACAACTACTGAACAAAAATACTGAACAACTTTTTATTATTCTTTGATGGCAATTCTTCAATCTTCAGTAGAAATTTGAGTTCTACTAATGGCATTTTATTGAAAAAAAAAACAAAGTTTGATTGTCGCCGTTTCGCACATGCTACGAAAAGGCAACTTTTTTACGCACATAAAATAGGTTGTGGTAGCCCATTTTGTATGTGCAGCTGAAGGAGTTTCCTTTATTCAAAATTCGCGCTAAGTTTAGCGCATTTTAGTACCAAAGCTTCGTGACGCAGATGTGGGAGAAGCACTATAAATAATTATATTAAATACCCAAAACAGTATCTTCAAAAAGTTCGTAACAATGCAGTTTCAACAACATTTTTCATGATAGCCGTAGCCGTGAGTAAGCCCACCAATCTGCACCGAGCCCGCGTGGTTATCATCTCCGTTTCTTCTTTTTGCATCCTTAGGGTGCACCATCACATCGCCACCCGTAAGGACGGGCACGTCGCAGAGTTTTAGTGGGTAGGGCTCTCCCAACCCGTGCAGCCGTTGATTCGGTCGTATGCGCTGGTTTAGGGTACTGGATGGGATGAGGGAAGAGGAGTTTCACATAATCTCGTCACCATACCCAGCTGTGGAATATGCGTCAAGCATTTTCTCTGGGTGAAAAAAAGGCCGCACTCCAGCAGTGGGAACGTTAAAAGGCTGTTAATAATGACCTACAAACATTTATTTAGATGTAACAATATTAAAATTATTCGGTAAAAAAATTAAAATGCTTATAATATATTTCTCCCTCAATGCTATTTTGAAGATTTTACTGAGTTAAGTTTTATTTGTTTTCAGGAAAGACGGAATTTATTACTTGAAAACCAACGCGGAGAAACCCTTCGCTCTCGGGGACCCGTCGTGAATTACAATAAAATATTAAATTCGCTCCTTGCCAACTTCGTCTATAAATTAAAAATTACAAAAGAAAATTAAGGTGCGGTAAGAAGTTTTTGTTTTTTTTCGTTAATGGAAATGTCATCAAAGTTTATAATTAAGAAGGATTTTCAAGTTGTTTAATTTATTTTATTTATTGTTTAGAGTATAAGCGATTATGATTAAGCTGACGTTAGCTGATAATAAACTGTGCTGTAAATAATCATCTAGAATTTTCATTATACATCTGTATTTGCGTCGACACAAAATTGCCTTTTTTGAAATTTTTATTACTTATGATGTAGCTTTAATATTAAATAAAGGTTTTTAAAAAATAGAAAGAAGATGTCCCGCGCTCCATACATTGTTTGCCCCACAAATAAAAAACTATGCGTCTTCATGAAAATAGCATTTTTGTGTTGGTTTTAAATTTTACAACAAGACTAAATACCATTTTGCACTCTATATCGTGGAGTTTTTAAGTTTTTTTTTTCTAAATGGCTTCGCACGGCTAGTGCATTTAGCCAATGTCAAGTATTAAAATGTTTACAAATACTATAGCACTCGTGGTCAATGTAATAAATCAAGTCACTTTGACTTGTGTCAAAGTGGCAGTCAAGTCAATCCCCCTTTCCCTATGATTCAGTAAAAGCGTGGGGATTTACTGAAACCTCCCCGTGGACTTTTTGAGGGAACGTCGAAAGACACTTTCCGCTATTTTGTTTCACTTGCTAACACTTGTCCATGTTCCCGAACACTTCGTGGTTAATGCCAACTTAATACATCGTGACCTCATTAATTTGTCTGTTTGCGGAATTTTATTATTAATATTATTATTGCATCATTACATAATATGCACCTACAGTACCTAAAAAAAAAACGTATAATTTCATACGATAGGTACATTCTTACAAACAATAAATTTTTATTTGTCAAGTCAACAAAGAATGTTTAAAGACATAGATAAATGATGATTGAATCATTTATCTATGGCTTTAAGACTTCTTTTGTGATTTCAAACATAATTATGTCAAACAAATACTGCACTGATAAAGCTTGATCATGTTCTATCATGTCATTATGCAATGTGAAATCCCACTGAAGTCAATTTTCCATTAAAACTTTTGTTAAATACATACGCCATGTTCTCAATTATACGGTCGGCGACAGCCACCGGGATATGGTTCAAAACAATATTAATAACTCTGCGATGTATCCCATCTCTCATATTAGGTAGGTACCTATGTTGCAAAGGGGACGTTGAAATATTTATGTCTCCAAGTTTCTTTTAGCATATTTCTTTCGACCATTATTTGTATTCCAATGCGTTTCATAAATATTATTCCGGGGCGGGGTTGAAATTTTATTCGAAATATGGGTGGACTGGACCGTAAGAAGTACTTACCTATTTCATATTTATTTAAGTTTTTTCGAAGAGATTGTATAAAATTATTAAACATTGATTTTAACTATTTGTCTACTCGTGTCATGGCTGGAAACGAAGGAAGTTGTCCAAAAAACTATTATTTAAACCATTACTGGAGCAACTATAGATTTTGTTAACTCTTCATACTCTTGAAAACATTAGAATGAAAGTCAGTGACTAAAATGATTTTGAGTGATATGCTATTATAATAGCGAGTTTGCCTGAACTCTTCGTGATCTTTTAGAGTGTGCGCTGCGTTAAGCGGGATACGGACCGGGCGGCCGCTCTTCGTGGGTTTTTTATGTTATTTCGTGTCTCCGTCGCGGACGGTCCTTATGAAATCGCACGCTTAATAAAACAAAGATTTAATTCAAAAATCATTACTTGTGGGAATAACGATTTAAAGATTAGCACTTCGACCGCGTAGTATTCGATTAGGGATTTATGAACATTTAATGACATAAAAAGTGCACGCCCAGCGGACGCCCGCTCCGTGCCCCTCTTAAGGCAGCGCTCGCTTTTAGACTGAACTGACCAAAAATCTAATGAAGTGTCGTATTTCAATAGTTAGTTGCTCTATGTAGAGTCTTAACTGAACCAAGAAAGTATCATCGATTAGTTTTGGTGCGGCTGCGAAAAGCTCATCAATGTACGCCCGAAAAAATTGTTTCGCGCCAATTTCGCTCATCCTAAATTTGTTTGGCCTATTTTTGCCTCCCCTAAGTTTTTATCGCCGTATTTTAACTTTCCAAATTCAATGTTACTTTGATTTTTGTTTTCTCTAAAATGTTGAAGTGTTTTGGGTGTGAACAGATATTTTAAAGCAGTTACTATTCCATCGTTCGTTATAAGAGTTAACATTACGTTACGGATTCCACTTATGTTAAGTGGAATCTGCATGAGGCTTGTGTTGTAGATTATGTGGCCTGTCCTCAATATTTCGTCCATAGGCAAGGCCTATGCTGCAGTGCCCCAGCAGTGGAGACATCAGAAAACTCGAAAAAGTGTATTATAGGATTCAAATCCACAACGTAATCTATATTTGTCGATAATAGTAGATAATAATAGAGTAATTCGCTACGCAAATTGCTTATGCATTTCAAATGTTTGCCAAACGTTTGGTAGTTACTCTTATGAAATGTTCAGAATTTGCATTCCCGACGGCGGCACCGGCGCAGTGGTGCACCGACTGAATGTTAAAATGGGACAAGAGAAATAGCATGGAATACACTGCCGGGGTGGCACGTGTATGATGAGTGCGCTCATGTTATGCGGCAGTCCACCTATGTTGTTTGATAAGGTTGCACCTATTTATTCAAAACGATCGCCAAGGCAGTCGCGGAGAAATAGTGTACTTGTTGAGAAGATACCACAGTTACAAAGATACTGTTTGGCTTAAAGATCTCATATGCTGGAGTGGAGTGAAAGAAAAATATATAATACGGTAGTATTCATGTGCAGACATAAAACATATTGACATACAGTGTAGTTTGGGAAATCGAAGATCAAGCTGTTACTGTTTTAGGTTTAACTAATGCAAGGCAAATATAATGTTGATGTTGATTTTTCTCATACTTACTCACCCACGAGGCCTCAACTTTACATGGTGGGAATCATTCAATGTCAAACAAGAAAAATGTACAAAGTTCTTTGTTATTTAACTGCCACAAAATAATTTTAGTGCGTATCTATAAGTTACAAAAATAAATGCCATTGAAATAACAAAAAAATGGCTTTATATAGGAAATCATGATTTGTGAAGGCTTCCTTCAATAGGACAGATAAAGTTTCAGTAAGAACTCAATAGTTTTATTGATGTCGTCGAAATTGTCAGGAAATAACTATCCGGTCCATTAAATAAATTGCTTCTTTTGTTGCCTTGCGGGATAATATTCTAGTATATTTTGTAACCATTAAGTTATGGAACATCACTAGAGGGTAAAGTAAGGTTTTTAGTAGGTAGTGCCTATTTATTGCACATACCTACTATGCTCGTTGTTTAAAAACTGAGAAAGGCATAAAAAATAATATGTATAAAATTTTTACCAAAATAGATTTAAAAAATCCTAGTTAGTAAATATTGTCAAATGAAGGTCTTGCAGTGGGGCTGGCTGGCGGCTGATGTGTGCCCAAGTGTACGTTGTTGGACAATTCACGTCTACCGTCAAGTTTCACTCTTACTCCAAGGAGGGTAGGAAGCTGGCTGGATGAAGTTTTACACCACGAATAATGGACACACACAGGTTCAATGCTCTACCAACACCCGATGGAAAACCAGAGGCAACAGCTGCTCGCTCGCAAACCGAGAAATCGGAATGCTTGCTTGAGCAAAGCTCCACTACACCTCAGATTGAGGATACTCACAAACTACTTGAGCAGAACTGGACGGTCATGAATAGGAAAGGAGCGAGGATGGTAGAGAAAATTTGGACCCCCGCACCATCCGGCCAGATCTCCACGCGTATGGAGAGGCAGAGGGAACAGACGCGTAAAAGACGGCAGCTTAAACGGGTCTCCCGTTTCACGGCCTCTTTTAGCGACCGTGTTGTCTAGACGAAAGTCAAGCATTCTGGGACGCCGGGTGGAGCGAAAGAAAGCTGCCCAAGCAACCTCAGGTGATACCGGGTCCGAGTCAGAAGCTGGACCACCCAAAGCAGAAGGGAGCAGGATCCGCGAAGATGACGTCTAGAGTCAAGCGGGCTAGGCTTGATGAGACAGTGTCTCCTCGAGGCGAACCCAAACGACCTAAGACGATACCGACCGGGAGGGACCGCCTAAAATTCCACGCGGCGGCTACAGCCTCCTTGGCTCTCATCAGATGCGCCGTCACGTCAAAGACTGGGTTCATTTCGAGGTCGAAAGCAGTTCTACCAGTGTTTGAAATCTGACCTTTTGACATTTCATTTAATAATTTTTCTTTCACCAAATCAGTAGTTATTTAAAATTGCTATTTTCTAATGCCATGATGAGGGGATCAAATTTTGGTGTAAGCCTCCTAATAAAATTGCAGTTAACGATGAATTTTCAATTATTTTCCCTATATCAGCTAAACTCTGAGCAGTAGTCATAATCGCATGAATATACTTTTCAATATTATCAAGACTTAGTCTATATAGCCTGCGTTCTAGGGCTAACTTGCGTCCCATCCCTCTATCCTCATAAGCCTTTTGTAATGCTAACCAAGCCTCTGATGCTGTCTTAGCATTGATTACATGTATAATAGCCGAATCATCTACAGTCATACAAATTAAAGTAAGTGCCTTCCTATTATTCCTTATTTTAAGAGAATCGGGAGTGGTATCACCAGTAGGATAACCATCGACTGCTTCCCATAAGTCCTCATGTCATAAATAATTACGCATTCTAAACTTCCATTTACTGTAATTATCTTTCTTTTTACTTACTTCAAAAACTGAAAATTTATATTGCCACACAATAAACAGATATTGATATTTACTTTCATTTACTTTAGAGCTTCGTGTTGATAACGATTGTTGTACAAATTAAAGAAAACGTCTGTTCATTGACTGTGTTTATTTTGAAGTAAGTAAAAAATATTGATTGACTTAAATTTAAACAAAAATGACACTAAATTAGATTAGGTAAAGATATTATAAAAAAGTTTACATTACAACACTTTGCCCCCTTCAAATCTGCTGGCTCTGACGGCTTTCCAGCACTACTACAATGGGGCGGACAGGACGTGGTTATGGCAGAATGTCCGGTACATCGTTACACTCCACATCTGTGGAGGGAGGTCAAGGTAGTATTCATACCCAAACGGGGTAAAACCGACTATACTAACGCTAAATCTTTCAGGTCCATTAGCC